CCAACTCTCCCGGATTTTGCGGGAGATTTTATTTTCATATTTAAAGTGGTAATAAATATATACTATTTTTTCTTTTATAAATTTAATTTTTAAATGATTTTGATCACCAGTATTCTTACAAAAATTAAGCTTATATATTAATATGCGCTACTACCATGGTTGTCAGGTAGGCCGGTAGATGAGAGCTCAAGCCTTGCTAGAGACAAGACGTGTTTCTTCTCTGCTCCGCAACAATGCCGTATCACCGAACTGCCCGCGGCGGGAAAGTTTTTCCTTCCGGCCGCATGCCAACATCAGATTTAGATGAGACATTTTCGATCGACAGAAGGTTTTTACCGGCCAGATCTATGAATTACGCACTTTACTCAAAATTTCTTCTAGAACAAACTACTGATATCGTGGAACTTCGTAAGCTGCGAGATTCCATCGGAGAGATTTCTACCTCAACATCAAGTAGATATTACAACGAACTCTTTAACGCAGCGGTGTCCGCAATTCAAACTGTTGAGTCGAGCCAAGAGAAGTCAACTGCCTCAACTACAATGGAGACTACTATCACTGAGACTGCGGAAATCCCTGTGACCATTCCAGAAAGTAGTGTTACAAATGAAACAGAGACTGAGCCCGTTCCCGAGCTCAGTGTTCCAAATATTATCACAAGTCCTTCCAGTAAAGAACTGAATATGGATATAGAAGAAGTGACTTCAGCCTCTGAACCTGAGACCCTGAATAGAAATTACAAAGAGCCACCAACTAAAAAGAGAAAGAAGAAGAAGAAAAAGTCTGCCGCAGCTACGGAAAATGATGACTTATCCCCACCCATGACCCAGAAATGCTGCACTCCTTCGGAATCTCTTTTCATGCCGGAGTCCATCCACCACATCACTGCATCAGAAACTACGGAGGAGACTACCAACAAAGCCACAGAGCCTTCCACTCCAGTAGAAAAAGCTCAGCCAGTTAAAAATGCTAAAGTCCTCATCCGTGGCCTCCCTGATAATTTTAGTACAGATGAAATTTCCCTTGAACTAGGAAAGCGGAACATCGAGATCCTGAAAATTGTCCAGTTTAGGAAGAAAGTGGGTGGAGCCTTTAGGCCCCTCCCCCTGTACCTCATCGTAATGCCGATGCTAGCCAATCTCGAGATGATCTACCATATTGAGAGCATCAAGCAGATCCCGATCAGCATAGAGAAATACCGCGGCGGCCGACGGCCGCTGCAGTGTTTTCGATGTCAGAATTTCGGTCACACTCAACGCTCCTGCTCCTCCAGCCCAAGATGTATGAAATGTGCCGAAGGGCACTATTCATTTCAGTGCAGAAAGAGCCGAGATTCCCCAGCTAAATGTTGCAACTGCATGCAAAACCACACCNAGCTGGTGGCTCTTTGTTGTTTCTATTTTGGATCTCAGGTTCAGAGGCTGATGTCTCTTCGTCTATATCCATATTCAAATCTTTACTGGAAGGAGTTGTGATATTATTCGGAACACTGTGCTCGGAAACGGGCTCAGTCTCTATTTCATTAGTAACACTACTTTCTGGGATGGTCACAGGGATTTCCGCTGTCTCAGTGATAGTTGTCTCCATTGTAGTTGAGGCAGTTGGCTTCTTTTGACTCGACTCAACAGTTTGAATTGCGGACACCGCTGCGTTAAAGAGTTCGTTGTAATATCTACTTGGTGTTGAGGTAGAAATCTATCCGATGGAATCTCGCAGCTTACGAAGTTCCACGATATCAGTAGTTTGTTCTAGAAGAAATTTTGAGTAAAGTGCGTAATTCATAGATCTGGCCGGTAAAAACCTTCTGTCGATCGAAAATGTCTCATCTAAATCTGATGTTGGCATGCGGCCGGAAGGAAAAACCTTTCCGCCGCGGGCAGTTCGGTGATACGGCAATGTTGCGGAGCAGAGAAGAAACACGTCTTGTCTCTAGCAAGGCTTGAGCTGATCTTTCTCCCCTCCAACGTCTAGTCAAAAGCATACCTGCCAACTCTTCCGGAAGATTTTATTTTCATATTTAAAGTGGTAGCAATACTCAGGTTATTCCAGTTAATTTCTTGAATTATAATGATAATTATAAATGAGTTTGACCACCAATACATATAAATAATTACAATAAATATTTAAAAGCATAATAGTCCTTGCTCAAGCGAATTTCAAGGGGATCAAAATATAAATATATTTTTGAGTCAGATTGTTATTCGTTTATTGTTTTACAACCACTCTGAAAATCCATTCTCGGAAAGATGGCAGGTATGCAAAAGTTTCAAATAAATTGGTAACGAATTAATAAATAAAATTTGTAAAATAAGGATAATTACGTTTTTACGTGGTACACTTTTTTCAAAGTATCACCTAGAGATAACTTCCTTATCTTACTTTTTATCTGGGCACTTCAGCCGCTAAGCGGCCCGGATCCCATTTATCGTGAAGTATTATGTTACTGATATGTTGACATACACCAACAAAACTGAATTTTATATCATGCTTTGAATTTTCGATATATAGTGGTAGTAAAATTATTTAAAATGAAAAATATTAAACTTAAAATAACTAAAATTTTGTTACCACCGGAAAATATTTCATTAGAAAGGGGAGCAAATTCTTATGAAATTTTGGAGATATAATGACCCGTATTTTTTTTTAAATTGTTATCACACATTTGCAGTCCTGTGTGCTCATTTAAAAGTTCGGCTTATAAGAGAATAAAGCACAAGCTAGAAAAAGGGCATTCAAAAATACGAGATTTAAGGCATAATTTGCGCCTGCTACCCAACGCTAAAAAGTATTTCGCGAAACTACAAAAACAGCGTTGCCAGAGTGGGCCCGATTTGAATATTTAGAATTCTAAATATTCATTAAGATTTCATCGTTTGATTCTCTGACGATTTATCAATATTAATTGTTTGGTCGATTTCCATTGTTTATTTTCATTTAATATTACTTAACGTTTATCCTTGCTTTTTTTCTTCTTCAAAAAAGCTGCCATTTAGCATGATTTTTATGACATTAATAAGGACAACTGTTACCCTTCGATCTTAGTTTTAAAGACAGGATTGATTCCGTTAAATGACCACCTGATAAGGGAATTAAGAACGATGTCATTGGTTGCGATAGAAACGGCATGTAATTCTTGTCATTCCATGCAAGGTCTTTTCTAGAAACAATGCTTTTCTGACAGGATAATTAAATGTGCCCTGTTAAAATTTCAAGACTTTTTAAAGAATGCATTCTTTTAGAAGATAAATTCCCAAGCTTTTTTGGATCACCACCCACTTTGCATGTCAAAAAAAAAATTCAAAGTCCTAACGATACAAGAAATAAAATAAATGAGATATAAAAAATTTTGTCCCATGTTAAGTCTTTTAATATTTTTTGTTATGATACCCTTTTATAAACATGCATTTAAGTAAATGAGGTAATGATTAACCCTTTCGCGCCGACTGTCACAAATACGTGCCAGCATAAAGCCGAATCAATCAGGTTATAAAGATAAAACTGGTAATCAAAGTAATTCTTCAGCAGTTTATTTGTGGGAAGAGTTATAATTGTTTGATTTATTTAATTCACCATTACTTTGTTCAAAATAAACTATTTAGTTATACTTAGATCTAACAGTGATTATATATATGATTAAACTAACAATAATTAAAGTAAAAGCAAAGTAAGTATCTCAAATTAGTAACGACTACATTTAAGTTACCGTTTTTTATTTAATTACATCCTGATTCTGATTTTGTACGAATGCTTTCCTGAATCACCCGTCCCCAAGGGGTTAATTTATGTAAACGTCTTATGGTACCAATTTTAATAAAAGCAACTAAAAGTAAAATTTTTAAGTCTTTTCATAAAATTAAATTTTTAAATTATGTTTATATTTTATAACCGTAGTTAAACAGCAGAGCCAATTTAGTTGGTTTACGACTACTAATTTTCAATTCCGTAGCTGGGTAATTTTGAACCTAATCCAGAAGACAAGGGAACTCCTGGATCAAGTATTTGGAGAAATTTGCCTTCATAGAGGACTTTTTCATAAAACTAACCCGCATTTACTCTACATGGGGAGGAAAAGCAAGAATAGTTATTTAAATATTATTTTTCTTTAATATCATATAATGTGAAATAAGTTATCTTGTTTATGAAAGTGGTCAATTCTCCCTGCAATCGATCTGGATTTTTTTAGTACAATTAATGCTGATTAACTCATATTTCGAAATCAAATCAGAGAGTTATTTTTTATGTGCTAATAAAAGAAAATCCGAAATTAGATATATTATGATAGTATTCATTTGATAGTATTCATAGCAGTGTTGGCTCAGGGTATACAGCACTACCCTTCCAATAAGGTGGGCCGGGTTCAAATCCCAGCGATGGCTGGTGAACACGAAGTCTACCCCCCGGCTCGCACCGGTCACAGTGATGACCACAGTTCTAGTCTGATTTTAAATCTGGGCACCTCAGAAATTCCTCAACACTTTTTTCATAAATTTGCAACTGCAAAATTTTACATTTCCGCAGTTGTTTTTCAGAATGGGTTAACGAAAGCATCTTGTCCATCAATCTTTAGAAAAATGTTAATTTTCTTAACTGGAAATGAATTAATTCCGAAGGAAGGGGATAGAATACCGAGAATAAATATATGGAAAATAAGTTAATTTTCTCGATTGGAAATAAAATAATTCCGAAGGATTCAAAGAAGTTAAAATACCGAGAATAAATATATGGAAAATAAGTTAATTTTCTTGACTGGAAATAAATTAATTCAGAAGGATTCAAAGAAGTTAGAATACCGAGAATAAATATATGGAAAATAAGTTAATTTTCTTGACTGGAAATAAAATAATTCCGATGGATTCAAAGAAGTTAAAATACCGTGAATAAATATATGGAAAATAAGTTAATTTTCTTGACTGGAAATGAATTAATTCCGAAGGATTCAAGGAAGTTAGAATACCGAGAATAAATATATGGAAAATAAAAACAGTTGTTGAGTTAATTACCTCCCATTTATTGAACGTATTGTTTTGTCAGCAGCTTTGTAAAATAAACAGTGACAGTCGCCTCCGATACCACATGAATACGGTTGAAGAAAAGAAACAGCTGCCATTGTTGCTACAGCTGCATCTGCTGCATTTCCTCCTTGCTTCAGAATATCTGGAAAATATTCAGTGTTTCAATTAAACCTTGACATATCTTACACTAAATAATAAAATTTAATTCCAATGATACCGCGCTCTATTTAAATTGAATACCTGCAGAGTTAAGTAAGACTATTTAACCCTTGGACGCTGAATTTTTATTAAACATATTTTTCATACTTTTTACATTTTGTATTAATTTAGGTAAAAATAAGTGGAAAATTTTATTTTTAGCATTTGAATAATTTACGGTTATGAAATACAGTCAGTGTCTTTTTCTAATAGGTGTTAATTCCGAAAAATAATTTTTCAAATTCAGACTTATTTGCAGTTATTTAGTTCAAAGAGAAATAGTTATTGATTTTTGAAATTTCTTTAATTTTCAAAACTAATTTGGGTTACATTTTTGAATACAAATAAAAAAAAATTTAAGCTACTTTTTTGGATTTTATATGTTAATGTAATTATAATTCCGATGGATTTTTCCGACTTATATCTTTAGTAACTACTAAGTTGTTTTTTTATAATTAAAATATACCAAAATATTATTTTCGCTTGTAATTAAAGAGTGAGAAATATATATATCTATATATGAAAGGGACGTAGGCGTTCCATCTGCGACTAAGAGTTATGTTTATTAATATTGTTTATTTTTTAAGAAACGTAAAGAAAGTTACAGTTGATCCAAAATTATAATGATCAAAAATTTGGTGAATCGTAGATTTGTTTTAAACATATGAATTGATATTTTGAACTCTTAATACATTTTGAATTAATTTAGCAGTCGGTGTCTTTCTTTGAAGATAGTTTTTCGTTACTTTTGTTAAGAAGATTAAAAAAAATATCACAATTATTTTGTTACTAGTTTCGATTTTCGGCGAAACGAAGCACGAGTTTAAAGAGCCTGATTTGGATCTGTAATCCTAGTTACAGTTCTTTTAGATTTTAGAAATATTAATGTCAGCTCCATTTGTACCACTAGGCAAAATATTTGAAGACTACGGCATTCCGTATCTAATCCTAATTCTGAAACCAAAAAATATATAATGTGAGAATATATATTCTTTGCTGAAACTATGATCCTGAAAGAGTTTGCGAACCTTTTCCAATCAATCATCATGGACATCTAGTGGTGTCGTAGCGATTGACATTGTGGAAGTTAAAATGCAAATGGAGTAGAAAAAAGTTGTTTTGCCACGAAGTTATGACTTTCTTTTGTATCATGGAGAGAGATACATCACTTCAGATGTAGGCTGCTGTACGTCGTAATATGATGACTGGCAACATATAAAATTGGAAGAAACCATTTAACATTGCTTAGCTGCACTGTTGGACCTTGTAAAAGAAGTTAGAGTTTAGCTATACGCTGATGAGGATAATCCGTTTTTAGATCGCGATGTATGTCTTTCTGGTGCAAGAAGCATCTGGCTTTAGTCAATTTTGCAGCTGCTATATCACCGGGATGGCGAAGGGTATGTTAGTATTGGTCTTATTATGGAGAGATAAAGAAGCATGTTCCAACCTTAAATTTTATCTAAACTGGATATTTTGACATTTAAATGGTGCAGAAAGTACTTTACTTTTAATTTTGGTGTCGTGATTATCTCACGAAAATTTGGAGTTCAAGATGAACTCTAAATTGGTTGCTTTGTTTAGAGAAGGGATGACATCATCATTAAATAGTATTAGCTAATTGCATTTGTGCATTTTTTCTTGTTTTCCGGATGACGAGCAATTGTGATTGCTGAGCATTTACATGAAATTTCCATTTTAAACACCAGTCTTTAAATTTTAATTAAAATTTAAAAGGGCATTAGGAGGGTCTGGGGCTATTACTCTCTGGGCACCGATATTTGGGTGATACTTTGCTTTGAGCACCTGCAAAGCTCAGTGTTAAACCCACTGGAGAGGTGAGGCAGGGAGTTATTGTATGTACCATTTACTCCTTCATTTTTATTTCTTTTCATGATTTGTAATCCCATTTTATGATTTTTGTTTTAAATTATATACCACCACACCCCATTTGTGCTTCAGCGATTTTATCTAATTTTTCACTCAGACGAATGAGCTAAAGCCCCTCGCGGGGCTGGTACTCAGGTAATCTCACCGAGGCATAGGTATGCAGGGGTTTTAGCAATAGTAGCTATTTTATTTACCATCGAAATTCTTGAACATATTTACAAACAAAGAATATTGTACTTTATATAATTGAATTTTTATACCATGAAAGCATATAGTAGTCACTGGAAAACATTTTTTAGAAAAACTAAATAAGCAATGAAGACTGTTGTAAATATATTTTAAAATTAAAAGAAACTGGCAAGTCAAAGAAGATATAGTTTATTTTTTTAAAATGTTTTATAATTTTGTCGTTTTTTTAATTTTAGTTAAGGGATTAAAAAAGAAATAACTTTTATTTTAGGCTAATTAGAATGATGTATAACTTAAATTGCTTCAATTTGGCTATAAAACTACAAAATGGAGTATTATTCCATAACCATTCAATTATTGATTTTTCAAACTAAATTTTAAGCGGTTTTTTATCATCTCAAATGGCATGAAAAACTAGATTAAAATTTTAAGAAATCTGAAAAATCGAATAATGTAAATATTTTATATCTTACAATTCAAGAATTTATCATCATTATATTAATTTTAAAAAAATGTCTTTTATCTAAATTCCTCATTATATTACAGATTCGTCTTTGAAGAATCGGAGGCTTATAGCTTCCCGTGATTGAATTCTTTAATTTAAAGAATCATTCGAAGGATATGAAGAGAAATCCGACAGATTAAAATATCATAAGAATAAAATTTTGAACCGTTATATCGGTTAAACTATAAAACCCAGATTTTAAAAATTTTTGGAAGGTAAGAAATCCGAATTTAATGGGGGGGGGGGAATATACCAGAAAAAGTGCGTTTTTTGGTCAAAATATGCACATTCTGCCAAGGTTACATTAACTGCTATGCATATGTTAGGAGATTTCTATGAGATATTCCCAAAACACTTTACAGAATGAAAATTCGATCTACCAAACAAAAATTATAGGGTTATTATTATTTATTACTTTTTGCTGACTGTACTAGTCATTGAAACTTTTATCAGTAGTGGCTGATAGTAACGGACAATTTTAAGGAGTAACTTTAAGCAAATTATTCATCGACTTTTAGAAAGAACTTTATATTGGAACGTAATAAAGANATTTCTCCTGCTGCGGCAGTAGCCGAATCTGAAATGTTGAGTTGTACCCCTCCTGCTGCGGCTGAACCCCCTTTTTTCCCCTACTGACGTGAATTGGTCAGACTTTTTTTAAAATGCGTAAAATGGCAACTTATACGAATTTTTTTCTCTTTATTACTACAGTAAAATTCACTATTTAATCCTTTTCCTTTTTTCCTTGCACTGTAGTCAGTCTACCAACACTAATTTAACACATGTTACAACCACTAGAAATTTGAAACAAATTTTTTTTTAAATGTTTAGGAGCCACTATTTTTAGAACATACTGTGCACCTGAGAAGCTCGGGGGTAATACCTCCAGGGGAGGCGAGGCAGTCTGCCGCAAAAACCTCTTCTCTCTCTTAAATTTGTTTGTTTAATCTCGCTACTTCATTTTAATTTTCACTTAGTAAATGTTACTGAACCCCAACTTTCACCATTCATTTGCGCTTCGGCGATTTATTATTTATTCCCACTCAGATGAATTAGTTAGAGCCCCTGGCGGGGCTGATGCTAAGATAACCACCACATATGAGTATGAGAGTTTTTAGAACAACAAAATGCTAGAGTATATCACTTTACTCAGGGATGCTAACTGCCGCGCAATTGTTTCATTAAATTGGTAGCGAATTAAATTGTATGACTTGTAAAATAAAGATTATTACGCCTACTCTTTTAAAAGTGTTAGTTACTATAAGGTTGCAACTTATATAATACTTTGAATTATTGATATGTAGTAGTTGTAAAATTACTTAAGACGAAAAATACTTAACTAAAAATAACGCAAATTTCGTTACCACAAGAAAATGTTTTTTTTTTTTTTTTTTTTTTTTTTTTNAATTTTAATTTTTTTTTTTTTTTTTTTTTTTTTTTTTTTTTTTTTTTTTGTAAAGCGTAAGAAGTTGGCATCTCTGTTTACTTAGAATGTACTGTCTAAAAGTCGTGTTTGTTCATGTCTTGCCTGACTGAAACTTGCCACCGAAATTTTCTGTTCCGGAAAGTGTTAATGTGTAATTTTCAGTTTAATACATCAGATATAAAATATTTATTACCACTACGATATATAGATAAATAATTCAGGGTTGCCAACTTTCTGCGCTGTTTAAGAAAGTTTTTTCTAGTGGTAGCTAGGTTTACGTTTTAATACTTTGTTCTTGGATTTGTAAATTTGTTTTTAAAACTATTTTCCACACCGCTGTATGCAAATGATTCATAAATTTATACAAAACGCTACTTTGTACAAGTTTCCTCGTAGTATGGTTTTAAAAATGTTGGCAAAATTACTTAAATCTCTGACAGCCTCAGTCTATTTAATAGTTTACCACGCGATAAAATATATAGCAAAAAGCATATTAGTTGGCAGTCCGGATAATTTTAACAAGCGTATAAAAACCAAAAGAAAACGTTATGTTCTAAAGAAATTTTATACGATTTTATTTATAACGGTCAAATGTATTGTTACTTAGATTAGTAAAGAACTTCAGCAAAAAAGGTGTAAGGTATACCAATTCCTATATTCGTTGCAAGAGGTTGGTCTGAACAAACTGCAGCATTTCTAGTGACAAGAGATGACTGTTGAGCCCAAACATCCATTTCGACTAGATCATCAAAATTTCTTAAAGTTAAGTTCTAAAATAAAAATCTTAAATTAATACAGAATTTTCAAAATTTATAAAAATCTATATTAATGCATCGATCTTAATTGAACTTCAAAATTATACAAATTATAGACTGAATAATCTGGCCTGGCAAGGATTATATAAGTACAAAATGTTGATAAGAGCATTAAGCATACTGTTGGAAGTAAATTACTTTTCTTTCTGGTAGAAGATTTTATAATATGAAGTATTTCGTAGGGGTTCAACAATTAGTAAAAGTACATTGATTCATAGCTAATAGATTTATGCGATTACATTCACCTTTAGTTATAATAATTGATTTATATACCTTGATTAATTACATAATTCGATTAATAATAATAAAATAAATTAGTTTTCAGCATTTAACGACTTTTTTCTCAGTGACACATTTACATTAACGACAGTGACGAAAGATGTGGAGAAACGAAGACAGGCGTCGCTGGTTTAATAATTTTGTAATTACCACCACACATCGTTTATCAAAAACAATATACCTGTATTTTATTTTATAACACAGCCTTTCCAATTCTGAATTTACGACTATCAATATTCTACTCCGTAACCTTGTAATTTCGAACCTAACTCAGAAGACAAGGGAACTCCTGAATCAAGCACCGAGACAAACTAGATTTCATGCAACGCTTTTTGATGGGGCAAATCCGCATTTGCGTTGTACGGAGAGGAAAATCACGTAAGCCTCCCATGGTTAGCCTGAGAGCGAGGGGATTTTAATCCATGATCTGCCTACCACTGAAAATATTTTACGTCAGCACTATGGTCGGTGCGAACCAGGAAAAGAATTCGTATCAACATGCCGCCGCTGGGATCCAAACCTGGATCGCATCAATAAGAGGCGAAAGCTCTATCCCCTGAGCCACCGCAGCTCCGACATATCTGTATAAAATTTTTATTAAAGCTTTAAAAGATAAAATAAGATCTTAAGAAAAGAAATTTCTTCCAGTATTTTTTTAAGCTCCACTGGTAACCAATTAATACTTATTTTTGATCTCTAAACTAATGTACTTTATTACAAAAATTCATTACTCGTAATTAAAAGCAATTAACGCTTACATCAAATCAATTTTCATACTCACGAAATTTTCATTTCTCAATTTTCAAAATTACATAATGTAAAGAAATTAAAAATGGTTGTCCAAAACTCAAACACTGGTTCTAAGATTTGATATCTTGTCTTCTGTATTGGGTTCAAAATTACAAGTATGCGGAGTTGTACATAATTTGCCTTAAATCTAATTATATGTATAGACTGTTATAAAATAAAATAAAACGTTTTATTCTATCGTAAAGTGGAAACAAAATAACTTAAAGGCAAACTTTTTATTCAGGCACCTAAAAAACTAATTTAGTGTATATAATATCCTTCAAAAACCGATTAATATACTTCTCCCCGATGTCCAGGGAGAAAAAAAAATTCCGTGTCCCGTTTTTTGATCGACTATCTTTTTCCTGTTTTTAGTTCGAATCTTTAGTGCGTGCAGAGAGGAAGACGGTGCATGACCAATTCCGAGCAAAAAAACTATGATTATATACCAAAAATGGAAACAGGTGAAAATAATTATTGTATTGATCGGTTATCGTCTGAGCACGTTCTAGAAAATTTAATATTTAAGCATGTATCGGAAACCTTTTTGTGCATTGTAATATTGTAAATATACCAATAAGATTCAAAAGGTGTGGAATGATAATACATAGCATTTTGCAAAACTTTCAGCTTTTCAATTTGCGTAAGATAAAGTTTAGCATTAATAATAAACTTCATATCTTTCTGATGGAAACAAACATAAACGTTCATCATAATTCATTGTAAAGCAGGATAATGCTAAAAATGCAAAGTTCTAATGTTCAGGAAAAAATTAGCATTAAAATCATGCTATGACAGCTTTTGTATTTTTGTAAGGAGCATTTGCATTTTATGGAATACAAGCTAGCATTAATTCTAACTTTTGTACCGCTTTTAATAATATTCTCGGCTACAGTGTAAGTCGGTAACTGTAGGAATATAGTAGACACAAAATTGTAAGTACTGCAGGCTCCTCGCTTTTTCGGATAAACTGAATAGTTGAGATAATGACTATATTCAAAGCTAGTTGAGGAAATACTTGTGAAATAATGATTAGATCAAGCGGTTTCAAACTTTTTTTGGGGCAGGAAACCCTATTTGATTGAGCGTCTTTTGGCGGAACTCCGCATTTATAAGCAAAATTTATTAGCGCAGCTGTAAACATACAAACAAACAAAAAACTACTAATTATTTTGATACTATTAAACGCGAATAATGAAATTTTTTCACTCATCGTTCTATTAACACGTTCACACTGGGAAAAGAGAAAATACTAGTTAGAAGAACTATTTCAATATTAGAGAATATTAGGGAGGAGTTAACTTATTCTCAACGATAACGATTCTCTGTAAGGAAATTTATCACAGCGAAGAAGCAATTCAATATAAAAATTGCATCCGTTAAAAACAATTGGTAGTTATGGACTTTTATTATTCCCGAAAAAGAAACTAAAAAATGAAATTTATTGTTACCAGTTAACCCGTATCAGTTATTGTTACGGTGCGCTGCCAAGATGAGACAATCTAGCGTGACACACCGGTGGGTCACCCCGGCGTGAACGTGTTAATGATAGTCTAAAAATTAAGGTTTTATGCAAATAGTTGAATTCGTCGGTTTCGAGCGGCGTCTAGTCTAGTTCTGAATTTATTTTTGATGTAATGCATAGGCTGAAAATGAATAAAGTATGTTGAATCATAATTTTCAAAAAAGTTAGTTTTCAACAATAAACAATGAGAACGGTAAGTTATTAGAGGAATATTATTTTTTGATTCTCAAATAGGATTATTTTATTTGGAATCGAAAAGTTCACTGAGAAATACTAATGCAATCTTTCATAAATGCATATTCTTTTCATAATTTGTTCCCCCTTTAACGGGCCCTTTATTTCTAGTAAAGGTAAATAAAAGTATTTTTGGAATTGAAATTGTTTTAAGAACAGTAATTGATATTAAAAAAAAACTCATTTAGTTTATAAAAATGCCATTTTTTTTGGTTATAAATATACTTAACATGACCTATTAGGAACTGACTGACTTTTATTTTTCTTTATTTACTAAATAAATTCCTTAAATGCTACAAACTTCAAAGGGAATTATGTATTTTATAACTTTTATACGTTTTTTAAAAGTGACAAATGGTTACCAATTTTATTCAAACTCACTTCAAGAAAGCTGAAGTTATTGAAAAATGGAAACCTAAATTAAAAGTGGTAAAACGTGGTGGTAAGTATACTTACCACGGCCTTTAAAAGGGTTAAGATATCGATATTGTAAAATATATATTTTAAAAAGAATTAGGCAATTTTTTTTATTGTCATTTTACTTAGAAAATATCACAAAAACAATCAAAATATCAAATAAATTATAGATTATTGTTTGAATTTAAATATAAGTACAGGTTTCAAAATTCATTACTGGTTAAAAAAAATTACTTAGAATCTCTGCAACCCTTCTTCGGAACCCTAAGGTTCCGTGGAACACAGTTTGCGAACCACTGCACTAGATAGTCAAAGGATTAATTTATTGATTTAAACTACAATTATTTAATTTTATTTTAAAAACAATAGCTATGTTACAAAACAGTTGACTATGTTAATTCTAAAACTCTAAAATAATTAGTTTCTGAACTATAGCTAGCTTAAAAATAAATAAATATGTTGCGCAGTATTAGTATATACATTATAATTCTAGACAATTTTATACATTCGAATATTTATTTTTCCCCGTTCATGTTCGTTTTCATTTTACAAAGAAAAAAGAACGTAGCACCAAACTATTATAATCCCATACACTGTTTTATAAGTGCTTAGTAAACTATTTAATTCGATTTCACACTTAATTTGGAATTTTCTCAGACAAACATTATTACAGTGAAGAAAATCCTTTGTTAAATATCGATCTTTTAGTTGGAAATTTTCCCCATCTGTGGTCGATCCCTCCAATCATCGACAAGAGGGGGAGGAATGCACCCCCGGCCATGTCGGCGCCCCTTTTGATTAATATCTTCCCTTTCAACGTTACATATTATGATGTCTTTGAGACATAATAAGTCGGTCGATTTGTCTTTGGCGCTTATAAAGAATTTTTCCTTTCCTTGCTTGAGAATCGCTGTGTGACACAGTCAATGTCAGCAAAAATTATTATAAAATCAAAAGCCTCAAAACATTAATTAGTGATTAAACAATATAGGTGACTTAGTTTTGAAGATAATCGTGATGAGATATTATAAAGATGAAAAATAATAAAATAAATAAGTTTTTCAAGTGTTCTGAGGAGGCAAAAACAATTACATTTATGTCACTAGTCTCGCATTTCTTAGGTTATGTTAACACTGTAATTAGTTATAGAGGAATATTAGCAGGGCTGACTGTTACCCGGAAAACAGAACATTCTCGTAGATTAACAGTTTAATCTCTTATTCATTTTCGTGTGCAGTAAAATATTTGTAACTACCAAGGCTTACGAGTATTGACAAATATTTTAAACTGGGCGCCTGAGGCTGTTTTACGTGATCCTTTCCCATCCATCTTAGGTTATAGTAACACTGAGATGGAATGTTCCAGTGGCTGGAATGCAAACTGGAGTAAAAAAAAAAAATAGAAATGTATTTTGGACAAAGCTGTATTGCAGCAAAAGTGAGCAGCTGTTGGCTGATGTCTTTTTTTCATGTTTCCAAACGTAAAGACGTATATTCAGTGTTTAAGGCTGGATATTTCAATGGATGAATTTAAATAAAAAAACATTTAATGCTGATTACTACATATCATTGAAAAAGAATCTCACAATGTACTTTTCTTCTAGATTCTCATATTAAATGTGATCTACTGTAGTACAATCTGTTTTGCTTTTCGATACTCGGGGAGAAATTTTTATCTTATTACCAATGTTGAACAGAAGATTCATTGAGCGGTTATGCTGGCCTTAATATTACGATTCAATCTACGTAACCTAGCAATTTTGAATCCCCAAAAGATAAAGTAACTCCTAGATTAAGCAACAAACGAAACCAAACTTATTTTTACGAAAAACTTTAACTAGGAACATAACTCGTATTTGCGTCATGCGAGAAAAAACAATGTCCAAAAACCTCCTATGGCTAACCGAACGGTAAAAGAACTCTTAGCGGGGTCCGTATATTGAAAATCTGGCTGGGTAGGCCGGGTACTCGGTACATCTCTATTTTTAGCACTTGAAGATCCGATTATTACATCAAAAATTAATCACTGTGCACATTTGTAATAGGGTAAAGCATTTTAACCATACTTGCATAAGGAAAACTTTTTCACGTTTTTACGAAAGATTTTTCTTGAATGTCTTTGGTAGTAAATTTGTTCATACTTTAAATTTTTTTCATTAATTGGTGTAATTTTTTTGTTTTTGGTAGAATTTTTAAGACGTCTTTGCCTCTCGTTGTTTATTCTTTAGAATCGTTAATAAGTTTTTGTGTTTAGTTGTTTTCGTTAAAGAATTGTTAATAAGTTTTTCACTCGAATATTGTTAATTTTCATTGTTTCTAGATTAAGTTGAAAACGTGTAAAAATTAATCGAAATTTGTTAACTCTTTTTAACCCGTGACAAAGTAATGACTAAAGTAACACTAATACAATGCATTAAGAAAATTTAAAAACAGAATCATAAGCAAATTTAATGCATGGCAAAGTTATGTCTTAGATAAAGTTTCTTTAACACTATCGAAATGTATTAACAGCATTTAAAATTTGCTCTTTTTTTATAGAATAATAAATTGACTCTAACATACAAAAAAGTTATGTCTAAGATAAAGTTTTATTAACACTAATAATTGATTAACAACATTTAAAATTTGCACTTTGTAATCGAATCGTTCGCTTTCTCTAATATATAATAAATATGTCTAAGATAAAGTTTCTTTAACACTAATAAAATAGAAAAATTTACCCTTTGTAATACAATCGTACGTTTACTCTAATACATAACAAAGTTATGTCTAAGATAAAGTTTCATTAACACTAATAAAATATATTAACAGCATTTAAAATTTGCTCTTTGTAATAATATAATAAGTTGACTCTAACACATGAAAACGTTATGTCTAAGATATAGTTTCATTAACACTAATAAAATAGATTAATTTTTATTGTTTCTAGATTCTGTTGAAAACGTATAAAAATTAGTCGATTATGGTTAACTCTTTTTGACCTATGACAAAAAAGTAATGTCTAAGCTAACACTAAAAAATATATTAACAAAATTTAAAAACAGAATCATAAGCAAATTTAATGCATAACGAAGTTATGTCTAAAAGTTTAATACATATGAAAAAATTATGTTTAAGATAAAGTTTTAATAACACTATTAAAATTGATTAATAACATTTAAAATTTGTTTTTAGAAATAGAATCGTACGTTTACTCTAATACATAAGAAAGTTATGTCTAAAATAAAGTTTTATTAGCACAAATAAAATGTATTAATAACATTCAAAATTTGCTCATTGTAATAGACACATAAGCAATACTTACTCAAAACAGAAAATTTTCACAAATTTCTTAATTAATATCCAATATTTTTAATTTCATTCTCGTTCTCAAATATCCCATAAAACTTCAGAAGAATGTGTATTCTCAGTGTTTCAATTCTTGGATGTTTCAGTACCAACTGAAATAAATGCTACGTGCAAGCGGTTTTTAAATACCAGAGCAGAAATTTCACAACTTCAATAATCTTCGACAACGAATATTAACCCAAAAAACTGTGAAGTTATTTTATCTGTTCTTTAGTGTAATATTACGCAGTCTAGTGTTTATTCAGATAGATATTTAAATGAGTATAAATGTGCGTTCGTCAACTTTTCTTTAAGGTGTATAAATAGTCCACCATGATACCAGTTCAAATGATCTTTATCAAAAGGAAGCTCACCATTCCTATGTCTTTAGGTCATATCTGCTGAATTTTCATTGTCTAATATTTAGTTCCCCCGNTATATATATATATATATGTATATATATATATATATATATATATATATATATATATATATATATATAGAATAAAAAAATATAAAAGAATTAATTGTAAATAAATTTACTTAGAAAAATATTTCTTTGTTAATTTATATAATTTTTACCATGTGCAAATCCATTTCTGGAAAATCCGTGGCTGAAACTATGTGCAAAGCAGGCAAATCATGTTTCTTTCTCTTTTTCTCTTTTATTTCTTTCTTAAATAAATGCTAATTTTCTAAAATCATTAATTGTCAACCTCTTTAAATTATCCAATATAGTATTACCTTGCGCACATCCATTTTCGGGCTCATCCTTGGTAACTAACAAATCAAACGCACCTCAGTACTCCAGTAAAAACGCACTTAATACAAAACCCCTCTATTTACGCTTTTGGTTTTATATTTTGCAATCTGGCAATCTTGTTACGAAAATATTTTAAATCATTCTTGAAAAATTGCCCATTCATGTAAGTTCATTTGAATTCGCTACTCGCTTTATAGATTTCATTTCACGTTTTATTCTGCTTTTTCTTTATATTTTATTTCCTGTTTTTACGTGATATTTTTGTAAAAATTTCCTTTGAGTGTTCCTCACACTATTGTATTGATATATTTTGCTTTGGCCAAATTGATGCAGTATTAGAAAGCACTCCTTTTTGCGGATATAATCGTGTGAGCTGATGAAAAGATTATATCTTTTATTATCCGGATTTTTATTTTTTTCCTTTTTTCCCGGTTTCTTGTTATTTTTATTATTATTTTTCTTTCTCCCCCTTTTTTCATTGTTCTGTAATTTTTTCCATGTTTTCTCTACATTTTGAACTTTGCAGTTTTTATGCAATTTAATAATGTATTCCTAATCAGAATGTTTTTAAAATACTTACTTGCACTTAAAATACTAATACTTTAAAATACTCGAGTGAATACTTAGTGGCTCCCACTTTTCTGCTGCTTAGGGAATGATAGGAAGAAGGCAATAACACATTTCAGTATAAAATCCGTTAAAATCGTTTTTTTTTTTATTGGTCTTAAGTGTTATTTTCAAAGAAGAAAAAAGGTGTGTATGTGTGTATATAAATCTATACTTACTTTATAAACTTGTACATTTACACTACATTGATTTTCTTCATTGTATAAGCATTTTATTGTGCACCAAATTTATTCATTTTCCTTTCAAGGAAATAAAGAATTATTCTTATACGTTTTTGCTATTAATTCACCTAAATATCACAAATGCAAGGGTTTCATTTAATTTTTTTTAAAGAAAAACACCAACCATTAAACTGCTCCTATAAAAAAACTCTTGATATACATGAAAAAATTTTAATCATATTTTTATTATTTTAATTATTTAAGAATCGTTATGCATATATAGTTTTGCAAACATTAAAAAAAACATTAATTTACTTAAATTTACATAGGCAAGAGGCAGAAAAGAATATTTTTTTAAAAAATTTATTTCAATACAGAAAAAAAATACTCCTTTTCCTCAAAGCTTAAGTATATGAAGGAAAAATTTTTGACGTTTAGAACTGATTTTCGTACAACCAAATACCATCCATTATACATCTTTTCAAAAATAATTGCACTGGTCTCCTAAAGATTTCTAACACTTATTCCAGATAGAATTTAGAAAAAATAAACAATAAAAAAAGCAAGTTTTCCAGTCTTTTTCGAAAAATACTTTTTATGGTTTTTAACGTTAATATTATGGTTTTTAACGTTTATTTGTTAAAAGTAATTTTTTGAATTAAAAAAACTGATTTAAAAAAAATTATTTTAATTTTCAAAAATGCCTAATTTGTTTGAATCTTACCTAAATTATAGCACATCGGTAAAATTTTTAAATAACTATAACTTTTAAAATATGACATGAAAAATATTTATTTTTTAAATTTTTTTTAAAGAATTTTGAGAATAAAAAATTAATTTGCTTAATCTAGAAACTTCACTCATATGACTTTATAAACTTTACTTATGTAGTCAGAATGTAGATAGTTAGTGAGTTTTTTATAGTTTTGTACTGTGTTCTGTTATAGTATGTTGTTATCCTTTTCATGCTATTTATCAATCCTCTAAATTTGCTGGTCGAATATTTTGGAACATCCAGCATTGGCCAATTTCAGTGACCGAGCATTAATGGGTCAAATAACACAACCAAAATTTTTCGATTATTAAAACTATGAAATTGTACCATTGCTTATAGCATTTTGTCTACAAATAAAATTGCTTATACACTGCTAGAAATTTCTCGGAAAAAATGGTTAAATAACAATTTATTTAACTGTTATTTTACCATGTATAAACAAAACAGACAAATAATCATACATAAGATGGTAATTAGAGAAAAACCGTTTATTAACTGCTTTAACCTAATACGGTTAATTAACCAGAATTTTATTACACCAACTAAGCCCACCTAATAAAGCTATTAATGAAGTTCCTTGCAATTGCACGCATATTATAGCCTAGACGGGCTAATCTGTCAGTCTCCTGACCGAAAAATTTCGAGTCCCAGCACTGACGTCACAAAATTCCCTTCAACATATGAAAACTTTCCAGTGTGTCCAGTACTCTCCAATGTAACTCCTCCTTCTTTCGAGGCGGCCCTGCTCCAATGCCCATTACCTAACCAAAAGCCCAGCTCCTTTGTCCAATTAAATATCTTTTTTTACGGGTTTGAAACCATACTCGTTGTAAATAGTTAAAAAGCTGTATTGTTTTGTATTCCTGGTTTTATAACCATACTAGTTGTAAACTATTAAAACCGTAAAGGTAAGAAACGTTCTTAACCGTAAAGTTTACGGCTAATCGGATGGACAGGCTGCTGCCTGTTATTTTAACATAATTTTAGAATGAAAATTCTAATTGTGTATACTTTTACTTAAGCTTTAAAAATTTCAAAAGTCCATTTCAACGAAAAACAGTCCATTTTCTGATTTTATTAAAATAAACTTGTCATTAATAATCTAAATGCTTACAATATTATGCTGTTGAACTTATAAAGGAATAAAGTGGATAAAAGATAATTCTAGAACAATTTTTCAAATTTAATATACCAAAAACCGATTAAGCTAAAGAGTTTAACTTAATTACTGCGGTTACTATTAATGCGTGTTGGGTTAGAGGTTGTCTTGAAAACACTTATTTAATTAAATATAATGAGTCTTTAACAGTTTTTCGGATATTTTATTAACAGTTACTAGTGCTTAAAACCGAAGAGTAATTTGTCTTGACTGTATCAAACAAATGGCGTGACAAAAATATTAAAAGACAATCAATTTGATGTCTCAGTAATGAAGTTAATAGAAAAGAAAAATTCAAAATAATTTGTACAGTTAATTATTGGAACTATTTATCTTCAATTTTTTTAATTTGTTTTCTCACGATAAATTTCATACGCCAGTGAGTTATATAAACTAAACGTTTAAAGGATAACGTTTGGAGCATTTTGTTTTTAATTATTTAAGGTTAATATCAGTGTTGTTTGTTTCATTTAACATCAGTTTCATTAATTGCACGCACGAAAATAAATTGCATTGAGGAACGAATATTTCGTTGGATTTATACAAGTAATTGGTTCAACCTATTTCAGGTGTGGGGACTGCAAATCTGAAATTAGTTTTGTTCGGAAAACTACAGATTTTTTTTTCTTCAAAAGGTTGTTTTTTGTTAGTTTATTTTTTTGACTGAATGTACGAGTTTTTTTTTTTGCTTTTTTAACTGTCGTTGAACAGCCGACCCAATTTTTTATGGGTTTGTAATTTTGAACCTAATCTAGAAGACAAGGGAACTGCTGGATCGAGTATTGGGAGAAATTTGCCTTCGTGGAGGACTTCTTGATGGCACTAACCCACATTTGCGTTACATGGAGAGGAAGACCACGAGAACCTTCACGGTTAGCCTAACCTATGATCCGTCAACTATGAGTATATTCCGCGTCAGCACTGTGGTCGGTGCAAGCCGGATGCGGAATTGTATCGACTGGGATTCGAACCTGGTTCGTCTCATTGGAAGGCGAGCGCTCTATCCCCTGAGCCATCGCTGCTCTAATGTACGAGTTTATAATGAACATATAGATTTGTATACATACATATACAGTTGCCTGCTCATTTGAAAATAACACTTAAGACAAATATATGACCTTAAGAACAAGTAAATAAGAGGAATCGTATAGAAGGGAGAGACAGTACCAAATTAATAAATTAATTTCTCTAATGTAAGCTTTTGAAAAGTGTTTCTATAAACCTAAATAATTTACATAATTAAAAAAAAAATTTGAAAAAAAAAAGTTCTTTAGTTTCTTGGGAAAGTTAAGGTAAGCTATATTAACATGAAAGTTCGCAATCAGAAGCATACTTTTCAGAGACTAATTTAGGACTGTTTGGCCCCATTAAGAAGAAGAAGCTGGCAGTAAAACCATTTGACTACCAAGGCTTATAAGGTATAACACAATATACAGGGTGGTCCTAAAATATATGTCAAAAATGTAAAGAGGGTACATATATAATCATATTTCGGATAGGAATGAGTGTGCGATAATGGCACATTAAAGCACTAGCTTGTAAAGCAGTATGAATCAGAGGAAACTGAAAAGACAAGTAAAGACAAAAGAAAATAAAAATTTATCAACAGTTTACAAGAGGTGCTCAAAAGAGCAGTCACCAACATCGATACAAGATTCACAGCGACGGCGCATGGAACGGCGTACATTAGAAAAGAAGTTAGGCATGTCGAGC